TTCAATGGGGCTCCCAGGTACCGGTTTAACACCATTAATAATCATTTCTCTGCCCTCCCTCCCTCCTTGTGTGTGTTTCTTTGCAAAATGTGACTTTAAAAGGAACTTGGCGAGGCGCCTCTGAGAGCAGAGACGCAGCACGAGCCGCTGCCTGGCTCGTCAGCCACCAGAGCTGTGCTCTGCATCCTGACTCTTGCCGCCGCTGGCTGATGACTGCCCTGGAGGCGTGCAGAACATGCCCGTAGAAGGACGGTGCTCGCAGAGCCCAGGCCTGACTCAGTGCCACACGGGCCTTTGCCAAGAGCGGGAGGGTGTGAGGCGCTCGGCAGCGCTGGGATTCGCTGGCTGTTTGGGTGACCCAGGACCCTGTTTACAGCAGCTGCCTGCTTGATTTTAACCCTTCTGCGGAAGGCGCGGGTCCCAGGAGCAGTGCTGTAGCACGGCTCTTCGCATGTTATGGAGCCGCACCTCCGCTTGCAGTGATGGGCCAAACGTCACCTCTTGTGCTGCAGCCCGGGGGGCTGTGCGTGTAGCACCGGGGCCCTCAGACGTGTCTCTGGTGTGAGCCAGGTTGTACGGGAGGGATTGTCTCATGAACACTTCCCCTCCCGTTTGTGATCCTGCAAACGCCTCTCGCCCCAGCCTTCATCACACACGGAGTCCAAACAGCCAAAGCTGTTGACTTCAACAGGCTTTGGATTAGACCCTTCCATGCACTCCCATTTCTGGGTTAAGTGCTTCCAAATGTCTCCATTAGAAAGGTGTTTAGAGAACCAAATTCTGTTCTTCCGTTGTCACTACATGGAGTCTGTGGCCATATTGAAAGGAACAAGCCTTTGTCTATGTCTGTGTCTCCCTGCTTCACACTCATCTCAGACTCTCAAATTGCTCTGCAGAAATTAAGCTCCACACCCAGCGGGTGAGGCAGATAAGTACAACGAATGCTGCTGTGCAGGCAGGGAAAGGGAGGTGCAGAGAGGTGACGTGACTTGCCCAGGCTGGCACTGAGAGTCAGTGGCAGGGCCTGGAGTAGAACCCAGGAGTCTTTATGCCATGTCAGAAAACATATAAACAAGGGGCCAGTCCTGAGGTCCTTACTCAGGCAAATTCCCATTGGAGTGCCTGCATATGGACCTCAGGATCTGGTCGAAGATAAGCAAATTCACTGCTACCAGACTCCTATGGCAAGGGTTGGATTGGGTCACACCATCTCAATAACCTCCTCTCTGTCTCTCTCTGCCAGGTCTCCAGCCCTTCATCCCAGACTCAGAAGGGGACCTCCTCTTCCTGCTGGACAGCTCTGGCAGTGTCTCCTACTACGAGTTCTCTAGGATCAAGGAGTTCGTCAGGGGCCTCCTGCGACCCTTCACCTTTGGCCCCAGTGACGTCCAGACCAGCATCATCCACATCAGCACGGTGCCCACCATAGAGTTCCCCTTTGACCGGTACTTGTCCAGTGGGGCAGTGCAACAGGCCATCCGGGACACGCAGCAGCTGATGGGGGACACCAACACGGGCAAAGCCCTCTCCTTCGCCAAGGAGAAGTTCTTCACGGACGAAGCTGGCGCCCGGGCGGATGTGCCCAAGGTGCTGGTGTGGGTGACGGATGGCTTCTCTACTGATGACATCTCCCAGCCCATGCAGCTGCTGAAGGACATGGGGGTCACGGTCTTCATCATCAGCACTGGGCGCGGGAACTACCTGGAGCTTTCGGCAGCTGCCAGCCAGCCTCCTGAGAAGCACTTGCACTTTGTGGACGTGGATGACATGCCCATCATCACCAAGGAGCTGAGGGACGCCATCATAGGTATCATGCGCTGGCCGGCCTGGGGAGAGCTGTTCCAGTTAGCGATGCCCCTTTGGGGTGTGTGTGGGGGGTGAACGCCAGCCAGTGCCTCAGTTTGGGGAAGCGCCCTAGAGTTCAGGTACTTCTGTGAACCTTCTGTGGAGGTCTCTGGCCTGCAAAGCCAGGGCTGGGAATCTCCTGAGAGAACGACTCCTCCAGTCCCACAAAGAACACGGAGGGGCTAAACCAGTGGTCCCCAAACTTTTCACAATCACACTCCCCCTTGTTCCTGTCCACATCCCACCCCGGGAGCCGGGAGTGGGGCTGCGGCTCCCGGGAAGGGGAGGGGACATGGACAGGGGTAAGAGGGCCAAGGCTGGGGCTACACCGGGGGGCAGGTCTGGGGCCAAGAGCTGGGGCTGTGGCAAAGCTGGGGGCGCAGCTGGGTGCTGCTCCCTCCCCGCCAAATGTTCCTCTGCGCCCCCGCCATGGGCTAAGCCCATTTTACTGAATAGCAGCAGGTGGCCAGCCCTTGCGGCGCCTCTGGGAACACTCAGTTCTGGGGAGGGGTGAAAGTCAGGGTCAGCTGGTATCTCACCCTCGCTCGCTGGCACTGCCGCAAAGGTACCCTACGCAGATGTTTGCTGAGGGGTGACGGCGTGCTGCACCCCGGGTGGGCTCAGCAGTCGCAAAAGGGATTGAATCTGGGGGGCCGTGTCATAAAGCAGGAGCCTCTGCTGCCTGAGGTAAAAGAACGAGCTCTGCTTGTCGAGGCTGTAACAGGCTCCTCAACCTCGACATGAGGTCCAGCCCCCACTAGCGCCACACCGAGTGGGTTGCCGTGACAAAGGCCAGATTCTCAAAGGTATTTAGGTTCCTGACTGTTCAGCTAGGGGCTGAGGAGTTAGGAGCTTAACCTGCTTCTGTGCTCGTAGAAATCCCGCCAGGTGCAGCTCTGCATCGTTAGGTGCCTAAATACCTTTGAAAATCTGGCCCTAGTGCTCCGTGCTTTGAAGATAAGAAGGCCCCTGCTCTCAGGAGCTGGTGGGGTACGAATCCCCCTAGACACTCTGTGTGGGGTAGATTGGCTTCCCCATCCTTTGCCAGCAGAGGTCGGGTCCATAGTGTGTGTTGGTGGGGAGACCTCCTATTGACCCAGGACAGCTGCGGCATTGATCTTGCTTGTCCAGGAGTGACCCCAGGCCTTGAGGAGGTTGGGGGTAGAGTGGGGACAAATTCTTGTCTTCCCTTTGGGGAAGATCCCACAAGGTCTTGCAGCTGTAACATCTCCCTGCACGCTACAACGGAAACAAGCCAGGGTCTGTTCCCTCCTGCAGGCTGTGTTCGCGTCGCAATGATTTGCTGGGTGGGGGAGAGGAGAGGGGAGCTCAGACATGAGTTGTTTGGATTCCTTTGAAACCCCCCAGATTTGGAAATAAATCATCACAGGTGCAGGTCATTGGCTTCCCTTGCAAGTCAAGCCAGGCAGGAAAACGCACCAAACCCAAGAACTGTCCTTCTGTCTCCACGGGTCAATGGTTACCCAGGGACCTCGGAGCAGAGCTGGAGGTTTAGCTGTAGAAAATAAAGGTTAGGATTTTCAAGAGTTAGGTGCCCAAATCCCTTTGAAACATAAGGGAATATTGGTGCCTATTTCTCTGAGACACGCTAGTAAATTCCAGCCAAAAAGATTACCTGGCTGCCCAGTAAGCCTGGTGTAACAATTTGTTCTTTAGTATGTAAGCACACCAGTCCAGGCTACATCTAGGCAGTGGTGTGGGCTCTTGAGTGGCATGTGTTAGTGTGAACTAAGATTTTCCAAGTTGTATCCCAGCTCCGCCACTGACTCCCTCTGTGACACTGGGTAAGTCACTTAACTTCCCTGAGTTAGTTTCTCCCTCTGTAAGACAGGGATATCACACGCTTGCCTTAGAAGATTACTTAGTTAATGTCCATAAAGCGGCCGGAAGCCATAAAGCATGAAGTGACTCTGTAGAACTCAACAATAGGGCTGTAAATTACCGTGGGTTCATTCTAAATGGACGGTGAAAATTTTCCAAAAATTTTAAACCAACATTTCAAAGACGTCAAGCGGCTCGAAGCTGTCCCATTAAAACAAAGGAGAATAATCACGACCACCCGCTGCACGCACAGAATAAACCCAGTGCTGATAGAACTGTTGGCAGAGTCCACTCACTTAGCGCTTACCCTGTGGAACAGAGCTAACCTAACGTGGCTGCGTGTCTCCGCGGAGGCTGGCATTCACCGAAGGATCAAAGTCCTGCCCTGGGGCCACCTGGCATGGTGCTCTCTTAATAATCATTAAACGTGGTTCCTAGCGGGATTCCAGCAATGGAAATTGTGACCCAGACTTTTGCATCTCACAGGCCGTGTTGTAACGTGCTATAGGAGATAGCCAAGGGGAAGGATCTATAGCACAATTTTGGCTAGCGCAGTCCTCGGAAGAAAATCCTGGCCAGACTAGTCAAGGTTAGCATGTTGGCAGCGAGCCGGTTTGCTGCGAGTGTGGCAGTGGAACTGGAGTGATTGGTAAGAGTGGAAGGCCAAAGGTGGGTTAGATTTTCATGGTCAGCCTTTGCAAAGTGGCCGGGAGAGAGACCCAGGCAGCCAAAAGTCACGTGCACTGTGCTGGAGCCAGCCTTGCCGAAGCAAAGCGGAACGCCGTGTGCTCGTTTGCACGTCCTTACCTACAACTCTCGTCCTCCACGCGGCTCTTCAGTGCCATTCCTCCGGGTGTTGCCTGGCCCAAGCCTCCTAGTATTCTAGGATTTCTTTGGGAAGCTGAGCCAGTTCCTCTGGCCCTACGAGGTGTTCCAGTCGCTTGCTGGAGACGGACTCTATTGGAAAGGAGATTTTCCTTCCCTGCGCGGCCCCTGCTGAGGGGAGACTGGTTAGAGCTCGGTGTGGAGGAGCCAATTAACCCTTTCCATGGTCTCCTATTGACCCAGCAATTTTGTCACTAAAGAAAAGCCCACATTTAGAAAACCAAGGATGAAAAAATCATACATTATAACTATAAAAAAGAAAAGAAAACTAACCACATCCGCAGAGTAGCCGGGGCTTCCCCCTCCCCTCCAGTTGGGTGATCAGGGAGCACGTACTATGTATATCGGAGCCATGGCTGGAATGTGCAAGGTGCTGGACAAACTCCAGCTGGCAAATGGGCCGCAGCAGCCCAGAAGCCGGGGGGAGTCATCGCCAGCTCCTAGCACACACCAACCAGAAGTCAGGCCCCTCCAGGATCTGGCGTGAAGGTCACGAGATTGTCAGCAATGATACGTGCTGTGTTCCTTTGCCTTCTGGCTTGTAAGCATCTGGCTTGCACTCATGCCAAGCTTTGCTCTGCATCAGTGAGGTCGAGAATTTTTTTTTTAAATGAATCCAGGATTCTCCCCTATGCCCATGACTCCAGGAGCTGGGGCTTTAAGACAAATACCAACTACCTCGATAAAATTGAGAGTTGCCAAGAGCGGGCCCTGGTGCAGAGCCCTTCGCCTTCCCTTCCCCAGGGCTGCGGGTGCCGTGCTGTGTGTGCACAAAGCGCATATGCCATGGGAAGGAAGGGAGGGCAGCTGGCATGCAGTGCAGGGAGGCCGTTCCAAGCGAGTGGGCAGCATGGGAAAAGGCCTGGAGCTGGCATTATTATCATCATTATCCTGTCCTCATCGCTTGAAACAAGATAGAGCATTAAAAGGCCTTTTGTAGGTGCACAAATGAGCTTTGTAATGAAATTGGCCAGTTTCCTCCCTCCACCCCTGTCCAGGAAGGGGCTGGGTTTCATCCCTGCTCATTGCTATACGCCCACAGGATGGACCTGGCTCCCATGCAGCAGTTGCCTCAGGTGTGAACGTGAGCATGGGAACAACCCACAAAGGGAGTAAATCAGAGGGGCCATGCCTCTTCTCTGAGCTGCATTAGCCTTTATCTCCTCTTTGCTCCCTTCAGAAGCATCTCCTTTGCTTTTAAAGATTTGCTCAGAGATCTAAGCAGGCAATAAACCAAAGCTGTTTGGTCTGGGAGTCATGCTAGAGTTTTAGATCCAAGCCAACAAGAAAGGCAGTGCTGAGAGTGAGTGAGAGAAGGGGAATAGACTCATGTTTGGGACATATGGGGGCTCCCCCCTGCTGGTTTCTAATCCTGCCTCTGTGGAAAAGTGACATCAGCTCTCTGCCTCAGTTTCCCTCCGCATACAATGGATATGATAATATCAACTGACCTGCGGCGAGGGGTGCTGGGAAGGTCGGTGAATGTAAATGGCTCGACAGACTGTGGGCCTGGTTCTGATCTGGCTTGCTCTGGTGTCAATCGGGAGTAGCCCTGTTGAAATCAGTGGAGCTGTGACAGTGTAAAACTCTTGTAAGCGAAAGGAGATTCAGGCTATGCTAGGAGATTGACCAGGGCAGCTGTCTCCCCGTAGTTACTTCATTCCACCCCCACCTCCCTGGCCTTCTCCAGTCTAGGGGGGCTGTTGGGCACCCCTTCTGAACTGTCCGCCATTGCTTTACATCCGCAGACAATCGCTCGCATTTGCTTTCCTGCTTGAATTGACGGAACCTAAATCTGTCACCCCCTAGTCAATGCGCCACTCTCCTCTGGCTAGCAGACAGCAAGTGTGTAGGATGCTGCCCCTGCGCAGCAAAGATATAAAGGGTTGATCCTGCTCCTTTCACCAGGCCAAATCCTCACAGCCTGCAATGGGCACCAGGGAAATACCTGCGACAGACAGATGGACACAGGGAAAACAAATCGGATCTTGGGGAAATGGCTGAGCAACGTAGCGCAGGCGATGAGGCTGCTTCTTAGAGACAGTGGCATTGAAATACACTGGAGCAGATGGAGCAGAGTCCAATCTAATATGGCAGTGCCTGGTTCTACAATGGATCCTTCCTGACTTCCAGTGGGTTACTCTCTACGTACACCAGCGCAGGTGAGAAGAGCGGCCCATGATTAAGCTGCTAGTGTCCCCTTAAAATGGTGAGAAACACGCACCTATTCTCAAGGTACTGTAGTTGGGGGAGAGAGTCTGGCTTTATTCTCCAAGGGATGGACCTGAGATGCAATCAAAGAATTCCTGTGGGGTGACGTGTGGGTCTCTCCCTGCTCACGTCTGATCGGTGGCTGTGTCTGTAGAAACGGACATCACCCTTTGGCACCTTCTCCACTGCAGGATCCTACGCGCCGAGGAGCACTAGAAACTGCAGCCGGTTCCAGCACAGGCACAGGGGGAGCAGCCCGTCTGTGGGCTCCAGCAGCCCACGGCGAAGGCTCCGTGTCAGGGACCTGGATACATTGTGTAGTCAAGGAACATGATTTCCCAATCTGATAAAGAACAGCACCCGCCGTGCTCAGCAGATGTGAGGCCCTACCCTCGACGGGCGGAATTCAGTCTGTTCTAACCTGCGTTTGTTGGTTAAAATGGACAACGACTGGCCATCCCGTTTGAAATCAAACTTTGGGAGCCTGATCCTATTAGCACCGAGCGTTTTCCATCCCAGTGCCTCGGAGCACTTCACAACGGTTGGTAGGTATCAGCCCAGATAGGAATACTGAGGCACAGAGCTGAAGAGATTTGTCCAAGATCACAGCTGAGCCAGTGGTGGAGATGGTAATAGAAGAACAATAATGAATACCTAACTCTTATGCAGCACTTTGGATCTCAACGAGCTTTACAAAGGAGAGCGGTATGCTTATCCCCATTTTGCAGATGGTGAAACCAAGGCACAGAGTGGAGAAGTGGTTTGCCTGAGGTCACCCCACAAGCCAGCAGCAGAACTGGGAACTGGACCCAGGTCTCCTGGGTCCCAACCCAGCCGACTGCACTGAGAAGAACAATGTTTCCTTTGCAGATGATGAAAGAGCAGGTTTCCTGCCACCTTAGCCTTGGGCTCACTGAGAGTCAAGAAATTTCCAACAAGCCTGTGGCTGTGAAAAGTGCTTGTCTGTGTCCATCCTACATGAGCCACAAAGAGACACTGAGAGAGAGTCATTTTGTTAATGGGGGGTGAGTGAGGGGGTGTCTGGGGTGCAGGAATCATTGGTGATTGGAAAGCTTCAGCCGGGATGGATGCCTAGGGAATAACATCTTGCTAGCCTAACATTCGTTTTAGATCAGAAATTCATAAGGTGCTGAATCAATCAAGCCACGTGCCCCTGCTCTCTGTGGCTATTGGCTTTGCTTTATGGCCAAGGCAGCTCCAGCTATGCAGCAGGGCACAGAGCTTGATGCTGTTCGCAAGCTACAGGCCAGACCCCCAGCTGATGTAAAACAGGGTAGTTCCATGGATGGAGCAATGTTAGTTTGCACCACCCGGCTCTGTCTTGGAGATGATTCATTTCCAGCCCAAGTGCATTTGGCTTTCGGCAGGATAAATGTTCTTTCCAGCACCTCAATCTCTGTCTCCGAGTTTTGAAATGAGCTGGTCCTTTGTGCCCTTAAGAATCGCACAGCATGGAGCAGCAGGGGGGGCAGGATCGGGAGCTTACAAAGGAGTTCTTACAAAGCACGGTGGGAACCAGGGAGGAGGGGGCGTTGAATGTTGCTGGCTGGCTGTTGGTGTGAAGGGAGAAAGCGAGGGCATGGCAGATGTGGAATGTTCCTTCCCAGCTGGGCGAGCCCATAAACAGCTCAAAGGAAAAACTGAGGCTGTTTTCCGGTGTACCACGGAGCTGGCCTGGAACTCCAGCAGTTTAAAGGAGGAAGGCTGGGCTTCTGGTTCTTGGGCATGCCTGAGATCTGAGTGGTGGTCCCAGCTCTGTTGTGGATTTGCTGTGTGCTCTTCAGGACGTCAGGGCTACGCCCTGCCTCAGTTTCCCCACCTATCCGTGTTGGACAGTGATATGTGTAAAGTGTTTTGAGCTCGAGATGGAAGTGGGGGGATGCAGTAGGACGGCCCATTGGTCAAAGCCCCATGCAAAGGCTTCCCCTCTGTCAGTGGCTGGCATCATGGGCGCATGGCTGAGCTGAGTTTTCCCAGCTCCTCCCTTTCCCACTCGGGCAGGAAGCTGTGTGGTTTGGAGCCCGGAAAGCAAAGGGGAGGCTCTTATCAGACAGCGGCCTGCTGCTTCCAGTAATCTGCACTGTCAGCAGTCTGTCAGCGGGGCACTGGGCAGGCCCACAGGCCAATACGGTGAGAGGTGGGTTTGCTCCTTGAACAAGCCTCAAGGCCTTGGGAATGCAGGCTGGGAGCCCTGCCAGTCCCAGGGCCAGGCAATGTCCTGCTCCCCCCTTTGCAGGAGCAACAGAAAAGCCACAGTCTGGTTCCAGCCTCTCCAGCTTCCGCACCCAGATGGCTCTGCAGGGATGGAAACATGGAGAGGCTCAGGCAAGGGAGAAAAGGCTTTTGGGGGGCATTTCGAAGGTGAGGGGGGGGGCTGAGGCCCTGGGAATGGTGGGAGCTGCAGAGGAGAAGGCCCTTGCGCCAGAAGTGCTGAGTTGAGATGCAAAGGGCTGCAGAGAAGGGCTTTGCAATGGTACCACGGGAAGTGGCAAAGGATGTGGCCAGAGGTGATCAGTGACCGCACGGGTCAGGGCAGGGGGCAATGGGGGCTCTGCTGTTTTGCCAGCCCTGGAGAGAGCCGCCTCTGGGACAGAATGGGGGAAAGCAGTGGGCAGTGCCAGGGGCGGGGAACACTGCGGCACTGAGCGCCACAACACAATGGGGCATCTGTGGAGCACTGGGATGGGTGACCTCAGCCGGGATGAATGCAGGGGGCTCAGCAAATTCCAAACAACCCCCCTAACTCTCCCCTGCCCCCCTTCCACAGCAGCAGGGTTGGGGCACAGAGTCTCCTGGGGAGAACTGCCTCTTCTTCCACGCTGGGCTCTTCCCGTGCACCGGAGGAGCAGGTGCTTTGACTCGGCTCCTTGGCAGGCAGGGGACTGACCTCTGGAGAGTGACCCACGTGGGACTAAGAGTCAGAGCTCGGGGGTTCTGTTCCCAGCTCTGTCGCTGACTCTGTGTGAGCTCGGGCGAGGCTTTCATGGCCAGAAGTCAGTGGGAGCAGAGGGCAGGGGGCGCCTGATAACCAGACCATTCCCCTCTCTAGGCCTCAGTTTACCACACTGGTGAATTGGGGACAGTGGCACTGCCTGCCTCTCAGGTGGAGTGTCCCTCCCGGCCCCGGCGTGAGCTAAGGAGAGTTTCCCCCAAGGGAAGCAGTTGCCCCTGCTTGCAGCAGGCTGTGCCCACGTGGGGCGTGAACATCCCAGCACAGCGTCTCAGGCAGGGCCGGGGTTGCCACAGCAGGCCGGGTAAGTGCCAGCCCAAGGCATTAGCAGTACAGCGATGACTGTTGTGGGCCAGTGACTGCAGGGCAGGGCTGGGCTGGGCTGGATCTCACCCAACGGGCCAAGCACAGCAACGCCACCCCGGCCTTAGGATCGGAGGTTCCAGCCCAGCCCAGCCCCGCCTGGCAGTGATACCAGCCCGGGACTGTCGGGCGCCAGTGTGAGAGGAGCGTGGGGTGGGAATGGGGGTGGGTCTCAGCACAGCCCCAGCGAGGCAGGTATCTCCACCCCTCCGTGCAGTCCTTGTGGCGGGGTTGGGTGACACACACACACATGCACACACATGATGTGGAGGGGCCTTTTCAGAGCAGCCTGGGGCCCGGTGGCAGGGCGGGCGGTGGCAGAGTTGCCCTGTCCTGTCCCAGCTGTAGCTGTTCTGTTCAGCGTCAGTCCCCCCCACTCGCTCTGAAGGGCCCAAGAGCAACGCATGCTGCTGAACGAGGGCTCTTTGGAGCTGAAGGCCAGGTACTATGTAGTGGGCATCTGGGGTAGAGCTGCCACCCGCCAGACAGACACAGCTGTGCAGTTCTGAGCCCTGTGCCAGCTTTTTGGGGTGTGGTTTCCACTGCCATCTGGTGGTCGTAGCAGAGAGATGCACTTGCTTTACAAGCGCCTATGGATGATAACGGATACAATGGGGGTGTTATTTAGACTTGGAAGTGACTAAAATGAACCAGATTCCCCTGCTTCTGTTTACACTCACTTCATGGCTTTGAGGAAAAGGCTAGAGGCACATTTGTGCTCCAGAATCTTAAAAATAAAAAAATAAAATAAAAAAAGGGACTGGTTCATAGCAGCCTAGCTCCAACCTGCTGTGCAGTGTAGCAATGAGCTGCTAAACAGCTGCCTTGTTCCACCCCAGAAGTGGCTGCATTGCAACTAAGTGTGATCTTGAGCGGTGTATAGAGTTATTTCTAATGTGTTTAGAGCTCCTAGCATGAGAGGCGAACCCCAGCTACCTGGGCAATGCAAAATGCTCACCTGCATTTTCTGTGCCTAACGAAGCTACTGCTGCAGATGCGATGGGAGAGAGTTGTTTGCACAGGGAATCAGTGGGACTTCTCTGATCCTCCAGTGACTTCTTATTGCTGTTTCTCTCCCAGATGTTATCCGAGCCAAGCGGCTCCGCGCCGTGGAGATCACCTCCAGCAGCTTCCGTCTGACGTGGCCTAGGCTCCTCTCCAGCGACACCGGCTACTACGTGCTGCAGTACGCCCCTGCGGACGACCCGAGGAGGAAGCTGGTGAAGCAGGTGTCCGGGGATCACACCACAGATGTCCTGAGCGATCTCTCGCCAGAAACCACCTACGAGGTCGTGCTCGTTCCAGAGTCCAACGAGCACTATATCCCTCTGCAAACCACCAGGGTCACCACGCTGGAAGGTAAGACGATGACGTATGTTACAGTAGCACCAATCAAGGGTCAGGGCCCCATGGTGCTCGGTGCCATAGAGACACGTAGCGCAAATAGTCCCTGGCCCAGACCTTCTAGCTGAGGCATGAGGAGAGTGAGTCTGGGTTTCAGAGAGACCCTCTAGCTCGGCCACAAGGTGTGGGCGTGATGCAGGAATCACTCGGTGGAATTCTCTGGCCTGGGTTACGCAGGAGGTCAGATAGATGGCCACACAGTGAGAGTCCATCTGGCCTTAAAATCTCTGCAGGTTCTAAGGGAAGACGGGGGTGGGTCACCCCAAACACCTGGTTCTGTTCACTCCTCGCTGTGGGAGACAGGAGGTTAGATGGACCATTCGGTCTGACCCAGTATGGCCGTTCTTATGAATCAAGAGAAAAAAACAGCAGAATTTAGTTAGAAACTGGAAGTCTCGGCGCTCCCCTGGCTTACCCAGTGCCGATCGATGGATCCCATCAGGGTAAAAGGAAACTAAGCACAAGCAGGTGGAAAGAGCTCCGTAAACCTGCACTCCCCGTCTCGCTATCACCGTGTGACAACCCAGGCATGTATAACACGCCCCGAATGGGACCTGGGACCGCTGGGTCTAGAACCATGAGCCGCTCCTGCCTGAGCGGAAAGATCCGGGTGTCTGAGCTGAGGCGCCGGTAGCAAGCTTCCCATCCTCTACTGGTGACCACCAGCGGGTGACGTGGAGTCGGTGGCCACTAGAGGGTGACATTGTGAGCAGAAGCTGGACCCGTTTGAGGGAGAAGTGTAGAAAACTAGTCCCCTGGGAGAGCCTTTTGATTTAGAGCAGGATTGGGCTGTGCTGACGTGTCTGACTGGTTGAGTTGCTTCCGCCTCCATGACGGCCAATAGGCTCCCAGCCTATTTACACTGCTGTGGCTGGAGACTGCTGTGCTGCCGTGAATCACCCCAACACACGTCTTCCTTTCCCTCCTCCCCACAGAGGAAATCAGCCCAACTCGGGTTCTCATCTCGGAGTCCAAGCCGCACAGCTTCCGCGTCAGCTGGGCTCCCACGCCGGACAGTGTGAGGAGCTACCAGGTGCTGTATGGGCCGCTGCCTGGCAATTCAGCTAAGCTGCTGGAAGTGGATGGGGCGCACAACAGCACAGTAGTGGAGAACCTGGCCCCCAACACCACCTACTTGGTGACGGTGGCGGCCATCTATAAATCGGGGAAGGAGAAAGCCCTGTCGGCCAAAGCTTGCACGCAGGAAGGTGAGTGAGCGGGGCCCTCTGCTGACAGGACACCACCATCCCAGCTGTGAGATAACACCGCATGGGCTTGAACTGAACAGGGACTGGTCTTGTTACCTGCGGTCAAACAGGTTCCTGCAGAATGTGGCCACCTCTTTGGCCAGACCAGGCACTGAGGTGAAAGCCCTTCTCCCTCTGTTTTGTGTCTCCCACCCCCCGCCTTTGCAAGCAAAGCCAAAGCCCACAGCAAGGGAGCGCTGCGCCTCAGGGAAAGGACTCCAGCAATTGAGTGGGTCAGCCAAGCCAGCTAGCAGGGGCCGGGGGTAGAATGCGGCCAGGGGGACGATACAGCTTTCAGGGAACAGAGCATGCATATCCTAGAAATGTGGCAGAGTGACAAGCATAGGACGGATGAAAATTCAGCAGTAGGTGTGCAACAAGTCTCCAATGGAGTCTGTCCTCCTAAGCCACCTGGAGCAGCACAAGCAGAGCTGGCTGGGAGGATGCTGGAGTCCCCAGGGACGGAAGGTCGTTTCTGTTGTCCTCTCCTTCCTCATGGCCTGTCTCTTGGAGCCTTGGAGGGATGGAGGTCATGAACTCCTCTCGGGCACGTGCCAAAACTCCCATGCCAGTGTGAGTGGTGTAACTGGGGTGGAAGCTCAGTAACGGGGGTGTCATGGGTCGGCGGCTCCCAGGAAGTGAAGTCTCTGGAGCTTAGCTTGTCAGAGCAGGTGAAATCCGGCTTGATTTAATCAGAAGGATTCCGGAGTGAGCAATGGCGGAGATGGGAGATGAGTTGGGGCATGGGGGTATCACAGGCCAGTTCCCATGGGCTGGTGTCCGTGTCAGCAGAGAGGCTGAGGACTCCACGAGCCCTGGAGATGGAACTGTCCCCTCCTGCCTAGAGCAGGCCCCTCCAGGGCACGGGGAGCCATGCAGAGGGAGTCCGGTGACTGCCCAAGCTGTCCCTGTTCTGAGGATAAACAGGGGCCTGCGGCCTGCAGAGCTGTCCACCCCGCCCTCTTCTCAGCACCAATCACTAATAGGGGGGAGATCAACCCCAGAAGGAGGGATGACGCCAAATGACTGGGCCCCCATAACCTCCTCTTCTCCCCGTCCCCCTACTAGAGAGCTCCAAGGTGAGGCACCTGCGCTTCGAGGACATGGGCCCCAACACCCTGAAGGCCTCCTGGGACTCGGCCGACGGGCCAGTCCTCGGTTACCGAGTGAGGTGCCGGCGGCAGACGGGCCCCTCGTCACTCCTCAGCGTCTCGCCGCAGATCCACAGCGTGCTCCTGACGGACCTGGCCTCGGGCACTGCCAACAAAGTGTGCGTGAAGCCCGTGTACAGGAACCAGCCAGGGAAGGGGCTGTGCCGCATGGTTCACATGCAGCATGGTGAGTCAGGGACAGGAGCCCTCCTGGAGAGGGCAATGCACTAGCGCCCTCGTGCCGGGGGGGCAGTGTCTTTGTGAGGGGATGCGGTAGTGCCAGTTTCTTTGGCTCAGTAGCCATTGGTGACCACCCACGCCCAGTGGCACTGGTTGCTCTTACACGACAGTGTATACTGGGTACAGTCATGGGCTCGGGGCAGGACAGAAGTGACCTGATTTATAGAGGTGCTCAGCACCTGCAGCCCCCCTTGACGTCAGTGAGCACTGTAGATACTCCGCACCTGTGAAAATCAGACCCGGGGGGCTGGGTTGGCAGGATTCCGGTTTGTAACGTGCAGTAGAGGGACCTGGAGAGATTTCTTTTAAATCCTTTGTGTTTTAACCTGACCCTGTCCGAGACTCGCTGTTATCTGGGAGGTTGATTTGCTCTGGTTCCTTGGCTGAGGAGCCCTGTTTTAACGGCGCACTGGGGTTCTCGGAGTGCTGAGACGGCGGCAGAGAGTTTCACAAGTAACGAGGGACTGTAGCTTAGCCTGGTTTTCCCAAGGCGAGTGCTCAGCGCTGTGGAAATCGGGCTTCTTTGAGGGGTCTGGAGTTGGTCACATAAAAATGGAGGTACCCAAACCAAAGGCTGCTGACGCTTTGACACTGAAATCCTCTTTCAGTTCTTAGAGGGCCCGATCCAGAGCCCTTTGAAATCAAGGGGAGCTTTCCACCCACTTCAGTGAGCATTGGATCAGGCTCTAATTGCCATGACGCTGCTCTTGTGCTCGGGGGCTGGTATGCCGATACATCACCCCACAATCTTCGAGGCATCCCCCAGGGGGTGATGCAGCCAGCTGTTCACACATTTCTAATAAGAGTGCTCCCCCTAGTGGCTGTGGCTGGTCTACATGGCCCTGTTGTTCGGCCTAGGGGTGTGAATCGCAGCTTTGCAGGCAGGAGGAAATGTGCCAACCTGCAAAAGAGTACCTGGGGTTAGCAGGAGAGGAGCAGGGCACCTGGGTGTTGGAATTGCAGTGTGAAAATCTTACTGGTGGTGTCCAGTGCTGCTTTGACATCACCCATCTGCCTATCGTCCCCTGTCTTGAAGGAGGAGAAGTTCAGGGAGGGGCGTCCCAGGCATCGGGGACAGGGCAGGAAAAAGTGCAGGGACTTCTTTATGGGAGGAGCAGGTGGGTGTGCTGGCATGGCTGGTGCCAGGGGGGAGGTGAGCTAAGGCACCAGAGCAGAATTGCAAGGAGGGGCTGAGCTGAGAAGGGCTTGGAAGGTGAAAACTAGAAGATTGGAACTTGACGTGGTGAAATGGGGGAGGGAGGAGGCAGCAGAGGGATTCAAAGAGGGGGCGGTACCATCAGAGTGATGGTAAAGGAAGATGATCTGAGTATGAATGGACCCGGGGGGAAGCGGGGGGCATGTTGGGGAAGAGGTTGCGGTAGTCAAGAGAGGGGAGGGAGAGGAGTTTTCCTGTGTGGACAGAGGAAAGGTCAGAGCTTGGAGACTGCCTGGCTAGGCAAGGCCAGGGGGAGGGTGGAGTCGAGATATTCCCCTTCCACCCCTGAGCGATGGTGGAGCTATGTCTTGGGGGGTGAGCTCGCTGAGGTCTCCCCGGAGGGTCAGATGGGCAGAGCTGACGGTTTGTCCTTTGGCCCCTTTCCAGCCACAGCAGCACAAGGATACAAGCACAGACGGAGCGCGTGAGGGACACTGGACTGAGCTGTTCCCCTACAGCGTGAGGGGAAAGGATTGGACAAGGATGAATAGGGGGACCTCACCGATCATCTCCCATCCTGCGTTACCCCTTGAGGTGTGTGGTTCCCCCTAGCTGTTGTCAAGCCCATTAGACTCCTGAAACTGTAAAGTACGACCCCCAGCTTATCAAACAGCTTGGCTGGCTGGAGCAAGCGGACGGGCTGATGGATCCCAGCCATGCAATGGGTGCGGGTTAAAAATTGTGCTAGCCTTTTGTATGTTCCTACGCCTGAAAAATTAGCGACGGAAAGACAAAGTGGGAAATCGTAACCGTTGTTTGCTTCCTGTTTTTTATTCATTTTCTGTCTTGTTTTGGTTTTTGCAGAGTATAAGTGGCCTTGCACTGATCACAAGTGGCTGGGAGCCACATTGATCCCTGGTGTATAACTCCATAGAAGCTGTTGGAGTTAGACCAGGGGTGAATTGTGCCCAGTGAGATCAATGAGTTTGGGAGGCAGATCTAGGTATTGTGACAGGGAATACGGTAGGACTGCAAAGAACAGATTCACCTAATGAATAGCACCTTCCATCCAAACATCCCAGATGTTCAATGAGCATCGCAACGGGGCTCCCATCATCCATCCCTGAAGTGAAGCCACCTCTGATGTGGAAGGACAGAGCCTTTTAAAGGTGCTTAGAATATGCAGGGACGATCCAGCTAGAAGGATCATTTGGGGACAGGAGAGAAGAGGAGATGCAAAAACCCAGCTGGAGTTTGGCCAGGACACAGTGGTTAACTCCCTGACTCTTATAAAGCGCCCCGGGGTATTTAATAACCACAACCAGTCCAGACCTTGATTTATGTCTCTCTCCGAAGACTGGCAGTCTTTGCGTGATTAACTCCCAGGAATGGAGCAGCAGGGTTGTTCCAGGTCAAGGTTGACATGCATTGGCAAAACTGTGTGAAGGAAGCTCATACAGGGCTTGCCTCGTCAACACAGCTTCAGTCTCTCACTTCCGTGGATACTAAACCACCACCCCCAAAATAATCTGCTCAGAAATGAAGGGATTTCAGGAAATCCTGCTCCCCCCCTGCATGCTGCTTCTGATCCCAGTGGAAGGCAGAACAGGTACCAGATTATACCCTTTTCTGCCTTCCACTGGGATCAGAAGCAGCATGTCATTGGCACAGAAAGGCCAGTTGAGATGGCCATTTTTCTTTCTCTCTCTCACACACACACCACAAGCAGCCAGCAACATAGTTGGTGCTAGTTTGGCCCAGCAGGTGGAAGATCCAGGGCAACCTGGATCAGGGAGATTAATTTACTCTCATGCCCCTAGACATGTCCCGTTTGAATGAGTTTGAGTCCCCCATCGGCAGGGCCATAGAGGGGAAGCTCGCACTGCCGGCGCCGCTACCTGTTTGCAGTCTCCAGGAACCTTTCCCCACCACTATAGTCACATCAAAAACTTTTTCAAATAGCTGCTGCCCTGCCTGAAATCCGGCACTGCATGTAAAAGGAGATCGCTGTAGGAGGAACACCGCTTAGCTGTTTTCTCGCCCGCCAGGTTTGGTCCTGCTGCCTTTTCGGGATGGGAAGGTGTGTAGGGGGAAATGAGGCGCTGATCATTTTAGTACTTAGTGAAAATGCCATTTTGAATGTGCAGTTCCACCCGCCAGGGCGTAGGGTGTGAAGGAGATGTAAATACTTCTCTGTGCCCGAGGGCGCAGCGCCAACGTGCATGTATTCTCCTAGAAACGCTTACTCTGTTTGGTGTTCATTGCTTATTTAACCTGCACGTGAAGCATTTTAATAGCTGTCCTGTATGTCTGGGAAGCCATGTGCTAGATCCTGCAAGCCCTTCAGGGGCCTGATTCTGGGAGTTTTGCCATTGACTTGATTGGATCTGATGTGTTGAACTCCAACTGGGTGGCTTACATGGGGCAGAGACCTTGGGTGGGCCCTTTGCACAGAGATGACTGTCACCCATTGACTCCAGCAGGAGAGCTTACAGGGCCTGGGTTCTCCTTTGGGAGGTGCATGTGTAATTGACTAACATTAAGGTTACACTTGCATCAAGGGGAAGATACAGCTTCCTGAATCTTTCATGCAGTAAAATGTAAAAGCATCTTGTTTGTTCTTGCTGTAAGATGGAGATCGTTTAATTTTGCGCAACTCCCCGGTGTAACGTACTATGCATTAACATTGCCTTCCCTCGATTGTAATGCGTTCTTTTGAAGACAGTAAATTAAAAATACAAGATCTATTGAGTTGGACTGATTCTTTCCTGCTGGCTTACAAGGTGGCAAATAGAATAAAGGTAACTTTTGCTCCGAGGAGGGGTGTGTGCGGAAAACCTGGCATTCATTTTAATAATAAGTGCCTCGATATAATTGTTTGCATACACCTTCATGGTAGGTAGCTGTGGCAAGAACTTATGAAGGAAATACTCAAAATTCATGGTTCTAGGGAGACCCTCTTTCTATATATTGATTAAGGTATGTATTGAACTGAATAAAAAGTAATATTAAAATACGTCGGTCAGATATGCAATGTAACCAAGCTAATGTTGCTGTAGAATCCTCATTCTGAATCCTCAGCTGGAGTTACACTGATTTACGCCAACTGAGAATCTGGCTCCTTAATTTTGCGATTGTCTGATTTATGTGTGTTTTATATTCCCAAGCTGAACATTTCATTAACAGGATTTTTGGCATGGTACACACATACCATAAAGCTGAGCGTGTTAGAAATACCTAGATAAGATTTACAGTAATGTTGACTATTTCTGTCAATGTCACAAGGGTGGGAGATAAAGCAACGTACTCGTATTTTTTTTCCCCCATCGTCCTGTGTAATGTCTTTGGATGTATTTTAACTTCTGTGCTGCACCCTGTATACAGTTCACATGTAGATTTCAAAGAAAAGGGCGAAGGGGAATGAGTCAGTGTTTCATTGGTTGGAATGATGCCTCAGATCTAAACAGAAATGAAAACGGTTTTAAAAGGAGCAGGAAAGTAAATGTCCTTTTGATCATAAAAAATGGGCTTGAGCATATAGGGTTGTGACTGCGGTGCCCATGAACCCCAAACATTCAGCCACGCTGGGTTGAAAGCAGTGGTTGAAACTCAAATGCTTGGGAACTGAATCCTTGTGGTTTAGAGAATGAGCCAAGCTTATGAGGAGGTTAGAGAAGAGCTTCTGCTACAAGCAGGTTAGTCCATTATTGCCCACTTTGGGGTTCTTCCATCTTTCTGTGAAGCACCTGGTACTGGCCAGTGTGGCAGACTGCACCAGCTGGGACAACTGGTAGGATCTGCTACAGGAACGCCTACATTCTTGTGCACAGCAGGCTTCCCCGGCCTCCTCTTGTTGAGGCCTCCTGGGTCTTTGGAACATTGCCGGTCAAGTGTTGCTCCACCTGGAAAGGGAGTGAAACCTTCCAGTTTAGTTCACTTGTTATCAGAACATAAGAATGGCCATACTGGGTCAGACCAAAGGTCCATCTAGCCCAGTATCCTGTCTTCCGACAGCGGCCAATTCAGGAGCCCCAGAGGGAATGAACAGAACAGCTAATCATCAAGTGATTCATTCCCTGTTGCTCATTCCCAGCTTCTGGCAAACAGAGGCTAGGGACACCATTCCGGCCCATCCTGGCTAATAACCATTGATTAGCCTATCCTCCATGAATGTATCTAGTTCTTTTTTGAACCCTGTATAGTCTTGGCCTTCACAACATCCTCTGGCAAGGAGTTCCACGGGTTGATTATGTGTTGTGTGAAGAAATACTTCATTTTGTTTGGTTTTTAAACCTGCTGCCTATTAATTTCATTGGGTGCCCCTTAGTTCTTGTGTTATGAGAAGGAGTAAATAACACTTCCTTATATACTTTCGCTACAACAGTCATGATTTTATAGATCTCTATCATATTCTCCCCCACCCCCACCTTAGTTGTCTCTTTTCAAAGCTAATGTCCCAGTCTACCCAGGGATATGCCCTTAGTAGTTCTCTGCAGGAAAAGTTAGCGTATTTGGCCCCAGCTCCAGAGTTTAACTCTGGTGTTTTTGTTTTCTTAACTCATAAGAAACCCTGCTGCTCTGGGATGAATTCTTCTTGCAGCTTTTCCTTGCAACATCCCAGGCTCAAGCATACTTCAAAGGGAAGCTGCGCTCTGGCTTACGTGCTTGAGTGATTGTCTCCAAGCTGCAGGGAGATCCTGTTTGCTCAGAGCTACCGACGCTCAGAGGGCTACTGAAGCAGGTACTCAGCTAGCATCAATCAGCCTTGCTCTATTGACTTCAGTGGAGCTACACTGCCTTCCCCATTCATTGCAAGAAGGGGTGGGGTAAGGGGCTGCGGGAGAGTGTGTTTGTTGGCATTGGTCAGGAGAAGAAAATAGTTCTGTGGGGTATAAAAGCTGGTCCAGTTCCCACCAGCCAGGGGGAAGCGTTCAGCCTGCCCGGAAAATGCTCTGACAACAATGTGTGGGATGAAAGGCTCCCAAGAGCAATGGTGTTTGTTCAGGGCTCCTCTTTTCCCCTTTGTCCTTTCTCCTGCAGCACTGTGAGTCCCTACCATAAGCAGCTGCTGAAGCCAATGCTTCTGCATGCTCTGATGGGGGAGTGGCTGGCTATGCTACAGCCAAAGGGGCTGGATGGCTTCCTTCCAGCACTCTGCCATGAAGGACGTTATTAAATCCCAGCCTTTAAAATCTTCAGAGGAACCGGACTGACAGCTAACAAACATTTGCAGATGCCCTTAAAATGAGAGCGCTGCCTAACGTACTGGCCTCTGCCTGTGGGGAGCTTTCTCTCCTTCATCACCCCCAAACTGCATGATTGGGGGGAGCATGCCTTCAAACGGACATTTCCTCTGAGGGCCAATCCAATGCAAATACAGCATCTGCTTAGGAAAACTAGAAGAGAAAATCTATAACAGGTCATCTCCTAAAGCCAGGGAGGAGAGCCTCAGGTTCAGCCGAAGATGTGAGAAGAGAATCTTCTTTATTTCAACGCACGTTGCAACAGCATTTTCTCTAGTAGTAAATATGGTACGCTGTTTGACTCTGCATGTAAA